TGTAGTTGTGGTTGTATCTTCTAACCTATTCCACTGATCTTTGGCTCTGTTTTGATTCCAGTACCATGTTGATTTTACTACAGTTGCTTTGTAGTATAACTTCAAATCAGGGATTGTGATGCCTCCTGCCTTGCCTTTGCTGCTTAGAACTGTCTTTGCTATTCTACGTCTCTTCTCACTCCAGATGAATTTTAGGAGTGATTTCTCGAGATCTATGAAGTATGTTAATGGTATTTTTATTGGGATTGCATTGAATCTGTATAACAGTTTTGGGAGAATGGCCATTTTCACAATATTTATTCTTCCTATCCATGAGCAAGGGATGTCTTTCCATTTTCTGAGATCATCTTCAATTTCATTTTTCAGTGTATAATAATTTTCCCTGTATAGGTCTTTCACTTCTTTCGTGAGAATAATTCCTAAATATTTCATTTTTTTGGTTGCTAGTGTGAAGGGTGTGACTTCTCTTATTTCTCTCTGTGTGATTTTGTTGTTAGTGTATAGGAATACTATTGATTTTTGGGTATTGATTTTGTATCCAGCTACATTGCTGAATTTATTTATTATATCTAGGAGTCTTTCAATGGAGTTTGGGGGTCTTCTATATAGAGTATCATATCATCTGCAAATAGTGATAATTGAACTTCTTTTCCTATCTTTATGCCTTTTATTTCTCTCTCTTGTCTAATTGCTCTGGCTAGAATTTCTCGTACCATATTAAATAGGAGTGGTGACAAGGGACATCCTTGTCTTGTGCCTGATTTTAAAGTAAGGCCTTCAATTTTTGGCCATTTAATATGATACTGGCTCTTGGTTTTTCATAGATGGCCTTTATTATGTTGAGGTAAAGACCATCTATTCCAATTTTCTGCAAGGTTCTTATCATAAACACAAAAGCATACTAGGACTTCAGAGTAAGATGATACTAAATCAGCTCTGGCTATTCTAATGTCTTCTTTTCTTTAAAATAGCTATTTATACTATCACAGATAATAAAATCAAACAAAGTAGGATAAAACCATTCCAACTAATGAATGCAGACATTATAAGGCTTTAGAGCAATGTAATGGGGAATCAAAATTCTTAGGTACTTTTACCATTTCTTACACTAGGGATACTATTCAGTATTTATACATGTGAGTTTGATTTATTTCGCTAATGAGTATGGTCTCAAGTTGTGTCCATTTATTTATAAATATCCCATTGTGGTCATTCTTTATAGCTGAGTAGTACTTCATTGTATAAAAATACCACAGCTTTTTTAATCCATTCCTCAGTTGATGGACACTTAGGCTGTTTCCAAGATCTGGCTATTACCAATTGTGCTGCTATAAACATGGGTGCACGTATATCACCGTAGTATGATGTTTTCAGTTCTTCTAGGAGTATGCCTAGAAGTGGAATAGCTGGAATAAATGGGACTTCCAATCCCAGCTTTTTGAGAAATCTCCGGACTGACCTCCACAGTGCTGCACCAATCTACAGTCCCACCTACAGGAGACCTTAACACACCATTGACACCAAGAGACAGATCAACCAGACAGAAAATCAGCAAAGAAATAACAGAACTGAATCACACCTGTGAACAAATGGACTCATAGGACGTATAGAGGATGTTCCATCCAACAAGATCAGAATACACATTCTTCTCAGCAGCACATGGGACATTCTCTAAAACAGACCATATACTAGCTCACAGAACATATCTAAATCAATGCAAAAAAACTGAAATTATCCCATGCGTCTTATCAGATCATAGTGCCATGAAACTAGAAATTAAGATAAAAGAAACTGCAAAAACCACAAATACATGGAAATTGAATAACATACCCTTGAGTAATCAGTGGGTCACACAGGAAATTAAAGAAGAAATTAAACAATATCTACATGCAAACCAAAATACAAATACAACTTACCAGAATCTGTGGGATACAATGAAAGCAGTCCTCAGAGGAAACTTTATTGCACTGAGTTCCCACATCAGGAAAACAGAATGAATACAAAAAAACAATCTATTGCTACACCTCAGACATGTAGAAAAAGAGGAGCAGGTCAAGCCCAAAGCCAAAAGAAGGGAGGAAATTATAAAAATCAGAGCAGAAATTAATACAATAGAGCCTAAGAGAACCTAAGCTATTTAGAACCTTCTGGAAATGAGTCATTCTGAAGGCTGAAGGTAAATCTCTGAATGCAGAAAGAAGAATTGAAGAGCTTCTTTTTAGAGAGAGCTCCCTCAACTTCCTCTGCCCTTTCTGAGCTCCCCACCCCCTTATTCATCTTTTCCTTCCACTTTCCTTCTGTCTTTGTTTTTCTGTTGCTCCTTTGACGTCTCTTAGAAGTCCAGCTTATCTCAACTCCACATTTCTTGGGATGGGGGACTCACTGTCATCTTTCTGGGGGCTGCCCTTCCAAGGCATTTCCATTTCACCATTTTCTCTTCACCAATGCATGTTTTCCATAAAAACATCCTTCACTGTTCCAGCCTGGCCTAGCAGGTGCTTCTCTGTGAACCCCCACATGACTCCATGTAGGTGTGTGTTTGTCCAGCTGTTTCCCAAACTAGACTGAGTTTCTTGAGGCAGGAAATCTATTACCCTGAATCATTTGCAAATGAAATTGGCAGCCCTTTTGTCCTTGTTGGCTGTCTTTCTGTTGTTTCTGCTTACTTGATGGAGCCAACTTTTGTTGACTTTTATTGCTTGGTTAAATTTCAATAGGGAAGTCATGAGTGCTGGAAGTTTTGGGTTCTCTACTTCTCTCCTTTTCTTTCGCTATGCTCCATGGTGTTTATTTCTCACTTCATTCAGCCCCAAACACCCTAGCTTGACGGCATGTGTTTTGGGGATGCTAGTAGTTAGTCAGGGTCTTCACCAAACCCCACTGGCCTACTCTGGGGTTCCAGGAGTCCTGCCTTCCCTTGTTGATACAAGCATTTACTTAAGTGATGACTGCACCAGGCCCTCAGCCAGATGTTAGGGAGACTAGCTCGGAAAACAGTCTGGCCCTGTTGTGCTGCTGGCTCCATGTACGACCTTTAGTCTTCTTTGGATTTCTATTTACCCATCTGAAAACGGAGGAGAGGGGAGAGCTGATCTTTAAAGACCTTGGGGCTCTTGGCAGTGCAGGTCTTGTCTGTCTTTGGTATATATGCCCCTTCACATCTGCTTTCCCCAGAAAAGCCAGACTTCCCTCTCTTCACTCTTACCACCTTTCCTACAACTTCTGAGTAGACATGTTCCCACACTGCTCCCTGTTCATGTGAATGAACAGCCCCAAGAAGCACTTCAAGAAGCCCAGCTAGCTTGCAGGAATAAAAGAAGAAGAGACAAAGGGTTGACATGTCAGATGGTTATCTAGGGCACGTTGGGGAATGAACAACACACTGACATACAAAAACCTTCCCTAAACTCAGTACTGAAGACTCATATTAATCATTTGTATCAGGGAGGCCAAACCAGAATGAGAGTTTGGAAGAAGATAGAGTTCTACTTATTTTCCTAGAAAAGCCTAAGGAATCAATGTTTCCTTGCCTTTGTAGGACAATTGACATCATTTTTTTTCATATCCTGGTAACATGTTCCATTACATTCAACATATTTATTTTGTTTGAGAGAGGTACTCGCTATATAGTCTGGGATGGCCTTAAACTTGCTATGTACCCCAGGTTAGGCTTGAATTTGGGATCTTCCTGCCTCAGCCTCTGGACTGCTGAGATTATAGGCATGTACCACCAAATCTAGTAACAAATTTTTGTTACTGGCTCCTTCTGTATTCAAGTCCTTATATTGGAAATATTGGCCTTTTTTGTAGGACACACTGAAAATTCAAGTGTACATTTGTGATATTTTCATTTTAATGTCTGTCTCCTCACTAGACTGTAAACTCAGTAAAGACAAGAATCATGTTCATCTTCTTCCCCATCAAATACTTAGCATGTAACAACAGTGCTTGGCAAACTGGAGTCACTCAGTAGATAATGACAAAAAATTCACAGTGCTGGGACCTGGGGATAGGCTTTAATTTTGCAAAGGCTGCTGCAGATGCAAGCCTCTCCATCTGAAACATAATAGATGTTCAATCTAACCAGATGAATAATAATATTAGTAAATACTTATAAAGAGCCCACTGTATACCAAGCCATGTGCTAAATACTTTAAATTTATTCACTCATTGGATTCTCAGGACAACCCTATTAAAACTATGCATTTACAGATGAAGAAATCAAGCCACAGAAGTTTACCAACTTGTAAGTGACACAGATGAGATTTAAACTCCAGCTGTCTGAGGTCTAGCTGTCCATGAACCTAACCACTACACTACACTGACTTCCAACAATGAATACTCAAACTGAGTATTGGAGAAGTGAAATAATTTCAAAGCAAAATTTTCACAGGAAGAGATCAATGTTGGAGCTAAGATCAGAACCCAGGTCTCTCTCACTCTGCCATCATGTATCTGGTGCTCTTCCAGAATCCCTGAGAATGGAGGCATAAAGAGGCATCTGAGAAGTCTACATGTTTGTGCACAGAAACAATCTTAGTGGGTTAGTAGGCTCCCAGGAGAAGACAGGAGTCAGAGCAACCACTGATGTGGAAACAAGTGATTGCCAGGTCCCCTTTCTGAAGTAGGAACAGGTGGTGGGTTGATTCTCAGAGTTCCCAGTTGAGGGCTGAGTGATTCTCTTTTTCCCACATTAATTCATCAGAGACACCCCTATGCTACAGCCACTTGAAGTCACTTCTGCCTCATTGCAATTGGGTGCATGTGGTGAAAGGATATATTCTACAGAGATGAGAGAGGCTTCTCTGCAACATGGTAAGTGTGTAGGAGTTAGGGTGGAGCAGTGAGTAGGGAGGACTGGAGGAAAGGTTTGAACCAGCCAGACAAAATCCCAGAAGCCAAGCAGACGCAGTGAGAGATTATACAAAGTATCCATAAGCAACCCAGCTTAAGAGGTTTAGAGCTTCTGGTTGGGCTTCTTGCCACAGCAGAACAGCACTATGGACACAGGCTTCCGACGTGATGTTCAAGAAGGCCTCCAAACACTCTGTGTTATGCAGTGGATTCCAGTCTATATAATTTTAGGTGAGTAAACCACAAGGCCTGGAAAGCACATGGGATGAGGCCAAAAAAGAGCCCAGGTATTACTAGAAGAGAAATGCCCAGTGTGCTTATCTGCTTGGTCCCCCTAATACTCCCAATAGAGAGGACTAGAGCTAGGGCACAAAGACCAAGAGTGAGGCTATGGTTGTTCTTGTTTAAAGATTATTCCACCCTTCTCAGGAGATGTGCCCTACATACGGCTGAAAAGACTCATATTTGGGGATAGGGTGATGGTGGCTTCTAGAAGTAGTGTTACTAGGTAGATATAAGGTGTTTTTCTAGTGTCAGTTTATGGTGAGAGAATTCTGGGACATCTGAAGGCTCTCTGGATGACTTATTAGAATTTGGAGAAAGGGCTATTTGTTTGTTAGACTCAGGGAACAGCGGTCATTAGTGCTGGGCAAATTGACTGACTGGCAGCTCCACACCATTCCCAGAAACCAAGGCATTGTTGTAGTCAGTTATGGGAGGAAGTATGAAAACTGGGTGAGGAGAAATAATGTCATTCTGAAGGATAGGACAAGTAGGGTACAGCTGATTCCAACCTGTGAGTGGCTTTATGACAACCTTAGGGCAGATGCTTTTTTTTTCCTTTGGGTACTGGGAATTGGCACTGTGCCAGTGAGCTATAGCCCCAGCCCAGCACATATACTCTTAACCAAGAATTTAGGATTGATTATGGAACTGAGTTTGGATGGAAAGAATACCTCTTTACTTTCACTAATCTCTAGTTAAAATGTAGCATTTCCTTCAATGATGAATGTAGGCAATAACCCCCAGAGGTGTTAGCAGTACCCATCAGCAGACATGAAAAGATTTGCATTTCATATTAGAGTTGTTACAAGCATCTTGAAATTTCATTTATGCCTACAGCTACTTCAAAATTCTACTATTGGAATCATCATTATATCTAGTTATGTTAGGGCCGACGCCGCAGGGAAAGAGACCCCAAGGACTCAACTCTTGGTGAGGGAAAAAAGTTTATTTCCATGCGCATGGGGTCCCTCAGGCAAACGTGTGCGGAGGGGCCCCGAGGGGAATCTGTGCAGGGTTTTTAAAGGTATAAGCAGGAGGCAAGCAAGTTTACAGAAGCAAATCGCATTGGTTAATTTTGAACGGCGCAGGACTTGGCTAACGCTGATTTGAGGGTCTGGGGCTGAGTAACCATGGAGACCGAGGGTCTTGGGTTGACCTTAGAGTGCCAGGTGCCCCCTGGTCCTGTTCATGCAGTACATTCTTTTGCTTATCTCTATCTTTACAGAGAACAGAACATCTAGTGGTTAATGACTAGCAGAGACATTCCTTTCTGCCCTGCTCTGATTATCTCCTGGGAAAGGTTTAGGGAGTGAAACATTCCTTATAGCTCTGTTCTATAGCTCGGGGGGGGGGGTTACATTACAAATGGGGAGTCGATTCTCTCATTCCCCCCTTTTTCTTGTGGATGACTTTTAATCTTAAAGGTCCTGTATGGGTAAGGGATCATATTGTTGACGTAGCACCATAACTTTTACTTGAGAAATCTGGGCCCTCACAAACCGGGTTACTCGGTTAATGAGGCAAGGGGCTATAGCCATGACTATAATGAATCCGGCCAGGGGTCCCAATAAAGGGAGGATATAGGGCAGAATTGATTCCCGGAAAGAGAACATTTTGGTTTTACTTGAAGGGGGCTCTCATACAAAGATCTTTAACAATAGGTTTTTTTTTGTTTACAGGGGGACCAAAGCCGCCGTGTAAGGTCGGCATCAATGTTATCAAAACAAGCAAGCTAAAACAGTTTATAACCAGCATAATCTATGTTTTAGTCAATTTTTAACTTTAAGGGTTACCAGTCTGTTGTGTAGTCCACTGAGTATGTCCCTCGTTGTCTGCTGTTTCCAGTGGCTTCACATGAGTGTAGTGAATCCGCGCAGTTTTTCCTGTTACCTTGATGGCAGTGGGGGTACTGAGCACCACGGTGAAAGGTCTTTCCCAGTGGGGTTCGAGGGAGTCATGGTGATGACATCGAACCAAGACTGGAGTCCTTGAGGCCTTGGTCTCTGAAGGCAGGTCCAAGTGTTTTTGTCTAAACAGCTGGTGGATCCAGGCCAACACAGGTTGGAGTGTCTGTAGGGACTTAAGATCTTGATTAGTAATTTCAGCTAATTTGTCTTCTGACAATCTTGGAACCAATGGCGGGGGCCTCCCAAACATGGCTTTAAAGGGGGAAATTTTAGAAACATATGGGGTATATCTAGCTCTTAACAGTGTAAAGGGAAGAAGGCTCATCCAATTATTGCCAGTTTTTGAAGACAGCTTAGCTAAAATGTCCTTGAGACTTTGGTTCATATGTTCTACTTGTCCTGAGCTTTGTGGCTGATAGGCACAGTGGAGTTTTAATTAATCTTTAATGCCTGGGCTAACTTTTGGGTGACTCGGGCTATGAAAGCCAGGCCATTATCGGACCCCATTGATAGTGGGAGGCCAAATTAAGGTATGATCTCATGTAATAGCCTTTTAATTACCACTAAGGCTGACTCAGACTTAGTAGGGAAAGCCTCTACCCAGCCAGTAAAAATGTTTATTAATACCAAGAGATAGCAGTGTCCCTGTAAATTAAGTTTTACCATGTCCATGAAGTCTATTTTCCAATGTTCTCCTGGAACAATTTCTTGATGTTGGGTGGTCTCTAACGCAGAGCTCTCGGCTGAGTTGACTAACAAGCACTGTGGGCATCTGGAGCTCGAAGAGGTGGTCAGTTTGTAGAGTTTTGGAATAAAATATTGAGTTTTGAACAATTCTGCAAGGTGAAACAGCTCCCGTCCTAGTGTCTTTAGTAACAGTACTTGTTTATCAGGTAACTGGTATCAGCTCCTTGGGGTGGGAGACTTTATTCCAAGTTGAGATGCCAACTGTAGGTCTTTTTTTGTGCAGACTGGTTCTGACAAGGTCAGAGGACTAGTATTAGAGCAGTTACTTTTTTGGTTGACCCCTCTGATGTGGTTGCTATTTTTTATCTATGGTTGGGTGAGCCTTGTAAGGAATAGCAATCCATTGAGGCAGCCAGACAGCTGCCAGCAAATCTAGAATCTGTGGAGCATTTTTAGATGGCTTTCACGTATATGTACAGTAGCAAAGGGATATCTTTAGTAAAAAATGTTTACCCTCTTTTTCGTGGCTAGTTTTAGCCTCTCAGTCAAAGCAACAAGCTACGCCTTTTGGGCAGAAGTGCCAGGCTCTACCCGTTTAACCCAGAGTACCTCCTTTTTGGTGGTCACTGCTGCCTCGGCCATTTGTTTGCCGTTTTGGATGAGGCTGCTTTCATCGAACAGTTGTCGGCATTTCCCAAAAGCTGGTCAGTAAGATCAGCCTGTAGGTTCTGCTGCAGTTCGAGGATGTCAGCGCACTCGTGGAGAGAGGTGTCCTTTGTTCCTCCGGATCATCATCAGGCATAAGGGTGGCTGGGTTTAAAGCTGAAGAAGTCTTGAATATCATTGACTGTGGGTCTAGAAGCAGGGCTTGACAGTAGAATTCTGGCATTTGAGAGCCTTTTTTTAGGAGGGGTTTTGATAAGAGTCTCTAAACTGTGAGAGGTTACCACAGAAATCACTTGCCCAAAGCATGTTTCTTCGCTTCCTTAAGTAACATTGTCACAGTAGCTAGTATTTTAAGGCAGGGAGGCCATACTCCTGTTACTGAATCAAGTCTTTTGGAGAGGTAGGCTATAGGCCTCTTTTAAGGGCCAATGTCCTGAGTTAGGACTCCTTTGGCAATGTCTCTGAGTTTATCTATGAACAAGGTGAAAGGCTTGGTAACGTCAGGGAGTCCCAGGGCTGTGGCCTCTGTCAAGGCCCGCTTGAGCTGCTGGAAGGCCTGTTTACATTTATCAGTCCAGTTCAGCGAATTTTGAGTTTCTCCCTTATGGGAGTCAGTCATATAGAGGCAAGCTTTTCAGTAAAATTTAGCCTACAGTATCCAACTGCCCCCAGAAACTCTCGTCTGTTTTTTTAAAAGTTTTTTTTCTCATAGAGCAATTTTAACACCTTGGCTATCTTTTTGTAAATTTTTTAGTTCTCAAAGACCTTTTTGTGCTATCTCTATTAACTGGCTGAGGGGCATTTTCTTAAACCTCTTAAACCTTTGCAATTTTTGTCTAACATGTGGGGCCCACTGAGTTACAAAGAGAACAACTGGCAATATTGGGAAACCTTCTTACCTCTGGATGTCCAGTCAGGGTGGCACAAAAGGAGAACATGGTTTTGGCATTCCGGATCAGAGAGCCGGCTTCATCTGGATGGCACACTGCTTTTTGTCCAAGGGTGTCACGTGGCAGGCCATCATTTTACTAAAATTATATTCTTAACAAAAAGGGCTTTTTTACAGGTAACAAAATTGTGTTGCATAATCTCCCAGATGTTTACAGCACATGTAAGAACTTGTATCTTATTTTTAGTATCACCTATAATCTCATTTTAATGAAAACATTTTGCAGCAAAGTACAATCTTATGTATACTTCTACCAAAACTGATCTAATACTGTCAAATTCTGAACACATTTACTTCTTGTCAAACCTGTTATTTGTAGTACTATAAACCAAGACAAATAAAATTTACATCCTCTTGAGCCTTCTACAACTTACAATAATACCTCTCAAACTAAGCTTTAATCTTTTTCCACATTCTGGCATAGCCAGACACCTTTACTTGAAGACCACTCTTTTTGTCCCTTTTTTTACTATTACCAGTCAATTACCTTTTTTTTTTCACTTCTCAGACAACATTAAAACTCTCAACAAAACCCTTGAAGTCACCTTCTAGTAGTCCAAAACATACTTATTTTATGTCTTTTTACCACATAAAAATGCTGTATTTTAAAAACAAAACTGTAACCTTTTAACTGGCTCAAATATAGTACCGCCTGGTTTTTACTTGGCAAAGTTGACATGACTCTTAATAACCATAGATATACATATATATGTGCACATGTTTACATTTTTACCAGA